ACTTTACTTTTTTAGTTAATAATATTTATTTTTATCTATTTAAATTTTTCTATTTAATTATATATTATAAACAATTTATTTTTATTGTGAGTTTTTAATATAATTTATATTTATAAATTTATATCTAAATGTGTAATATAAAATAACAATAATTTATATTAACATATATGGTTATTATATTTTATCATTATGTTAATTTTATTAATTTTTAATAATAATAATAATATTATTTATTTCATCATCCAGTTTGACTCCGGTTCGACTGATCGAACCTTAAACCTCTCATTCTTCCGGTTCGTTGTCCGGTCCGATTTTCACAATCTTGATAATATTAATAATAATGAATTATATTTTGAATATAATAAAATTAGGACCGGTTATCTTCAAGTTGAAACGAAGATAGTATCAATGAGACTATTAGTTCCCAATTTTGTTAAATTTTTAAATTTATGTGGTTAATTTTTGGCTCATCCTTTAAGTGACTGATTATCTTGACTTCCTTTGCATCATATTTTTTCGTTTTATCCGACATAATGTTTTTATCTATATCCCTTCAAGTATTTAGAAGAAAGGGTTTAAATGAGTCGCATATTTGTCTGATCCAGCTGAGCTTAGCTGAGCTCCTATAATTCTTTTTGGGCTTAAACTCGAGCTCAATCATATTTGTGGAGCTCTAACTCAGCTCATTAAAATTTTTTTAGCTTGAAATTGAACTCGTTTTCTTAGTTTTAAATTAGTTTTTTTAATTTTTAGATATACGTGAAAATGTTTGAGTAGCTCCAGTAGAAGATAAGATTATAAAGAGTCGCCTTAGATGATTTTGTCACATAAAACGGCAGTCTTCCAATGACCCGGTTAGGAAAGTAGAAGTATTATATTTGACTTATATTAAGAAAGGTAGAGACAGACCTAAAAAGACATGGTTAGAAAATATTAGGAATGACCTTTCTTTATTAAATTTAAAAAAGAATTTGACTTTTAATAGGACACAATGGAGAAAAAAGATTCATGTAGCCGACCCCACCTAGTGGGATAAAAGCTTGATGATGTTGTTGTTGTGTAGATATTATTTATGAATGCTAAGATATTTTATATAATTTCAATTGAATTATGAGATATATGACATTCTACAATGAATTTCTAATGCCATTAAGAAAAGATGGCAAACAATGTTGTTGAGTGGCCATAAGTTACAATCAATCAAGCTCATTGGATTGGCCTTGAGATTCATCTCTAGGCCAAGATTTCAGCTATGTAATACTTGCTAGATACATATTACAAGAAGCCAGGATTTACAAGATTATGTAAGCATTTTTGTTTGATTTTGAGAGCATTCCTCTTTCATGAGGTTGATGAGTTGTTGAGGTTTTGGATTATGACTTCGCTTGATACAGCTTTCTTGTTATTTTTTAAAATAGTTTTTTACTACAAAAATTTTTAATTCAAATCATTTTCGTACTAAAAAATCGCTTTAGAAAATAGTCCCCACGAAGCCTATAACATCAACATTTATTGGGTAGGTCCAAGGCAAGTGGTAAGAAAGCAATCCCAAACTAAGCCTATAGTAGCAACATTTATTGGGCAGATCCAAGGCAACATTATGTAGCTATAATCAACACAGATGCGAAGCAGTTCATTTTTCTTACGGACAGGGACAATACTGCATATCCAGGTTGGATACTGTTCTTCTCTAATGAGAACGCTTTGTGCTATTCTATGCTTGCATTTTGAGCCATTATCATTGAGTTAGTTTGACAATAAGATTTTCAATGTCGTCTCGACCCGCCATTCCTATGAACATCTGGAGCTATAGTTTTCTACAAGAAGGTAACCAAGCTGGGCACTCTATGTTGTTACATGATTCTTTCAAGCCAAGCATGTCATATGGTAGTTTTCTCATGATAAAGATGTTGCACATATTTTCTATTTGTCCAATGCCTGTGTTGTCATTTTGTTAACATTGAATCACTTACCTAAGCCTATAAACAGAGATTAAAGGTGGTGAGCTCAAGTTACACAATTTTTTGTACTAAAGCTAATTTTACAGAGAACCTAGAGCTTTTCACTTTAGATTTATTTCTTTACTAAGTACCCCGCAGTAAAGTAGGATTCGACTATGTGTGAAGCAGGGTTTAAATGTAGTGTTCGAATGAACTCTCATTCTCATAAGTGAAGGAGATGGGCATCTTGTGTTTTGGGGGCATGTTGAAGGGTTAATTATTCGGTGCAGAGTCTGGACGTCATCCAAAGTCCAATAAAAATGCGTCATGTCACCAAAAAAAGTGTATTGCGCTCGGTACTGTACGAAGTGCCGGTACCGCTCGGTACCAAGCAGTACCGGACAATTCTCCCTTCCGGTGTCTGCACAGAATAATCTCTCCATGTGAATGGAGCATGATGACTAGGAATCAGGCAATCAACATCTATAGGATCCGACTATGTGTGAAGGAGAATTAAAGTTCGTGACGAGATCCCTTGTGCGAATTAGTTTGAACGAGATTTGGATTAAGCTTACACTTTGTTTGAATCGACATTGAATTAAGTTGGAATCCCGTTCAAGCCAAAATCGAATAATTTTTTTAGTTTGGATCAGATTCAAACCTGGGTTTGAAATAGTTTTGAATTTTGAACATGTTTAAACCAATGTTAGGTGCTTCTATTTCAAAAAATACTTTACAAATACAATTTCCAAATTTAAGTTTGAAATATTTTTGAATTTTGAATATGTTTGAACCAATTTCAGATGCTTCTATTTCAAAAAATACTTCACAAATACAATTTCTCGTTGAGGATAATTGTTTGAATTAAAGCTTCATATATATATTTCTCCATGAAAATAAATGATGAGTTTTTTTCTCTAATTACTTGCCTTAGGAGTCACATAGTCAAAATTTAATTTACTTTTCAAGCATCCTTTCATGCAAGAAATTTATTTGGAGGAGCTTTTGTATTGGATTAATATTTTACAATTATAAAAATAAAAAATTAATTAGAATAGAATACAAAATTAATATGACATTTAACAATATGAACATAAATGTAGAATGTATTAGCATTTATATCATAATACAAATATAATATTTAGAATAAAATAATATGAAAATAACATAATATTAAAATCATTAACAAAAATAATATTTTGACATATTTTTAATCCCAATATTAAAATTATATATGTCATTAGTTTTAATAATACTTAAAAGCTAAATAATTTAGTTTTATATTCCCAAAGCAATATAAGAAATTATTTAAAAGAAAAATGATTATTATCATGTTATTTGGGAACATTTAGGTCAATTAAAACAAATTCATGTCTATCAAATAAAAAGGTAGCCTTCCGATAGCCCGGCTAAGAAAGTAGATGTATTGGATTTGACTTTCATTAAGAAGAGTAAACGTAGATCTAAAAAAGTATTGATTAGAAAATATTAGAAGTGACTTTTCTTATAAAACAATTTTTTTTAAGTTGCGTATTATTATCATCCTCATAAAACAAATTTTAATTATTTTTAACATTTAGCTCAATTAATATAAGCTCAACGCGCTTCACATCGATCTCAAGCTACACACAAAACGTGGGCAAATTATTAGGTTCGGTCAGCAGACCTATTTCTAGATCCGGACATCCACTAAAATTTTGCTACATGGACTACACTTTGACTAAAAAAAAAGTGCAATCAAAAGCGCAAGTTAAGTGTAGGTAAAGCGCAGTAAAAAAAGCGCAGTCAAAGCGCACAGTCAAAAATAGTCCACATGGCGAGTTTTTATTGGATATCCATATTTATTTCTAGGTCAGGTGACGGGCAAATTATTGCATCCGGTCATCGGACGCGGAGATAGGTCCGAATTTTTTGATAAAATATTATTTTAAATTAAGCGCGTCAAAAGCGCAGGTAAGCGTAGATAAAGCACATGCAAAGTACAGTCAAAAGCGCAGATAAAACGCAAGCCAGGTAAAGCGCAAGCGCATGTAAAATTTGCAGTTGACCTAAAATTTTATTGGATGTCAGCACGTATTTTGCGACTCTGGTTACGGTGCCTAATAATTACGTTCGATACCACTCGGTACCACTGAATACCCTGTATCTCTACGAACGATTCTCACTACGTCTGCACTCTGCACCTAATAATTTTTCGTCATATGTCATCAAAAGTCTCTCGTTGCTCCCGCCTTCAGCATGTTTCAACTTCCAAGAAGTGGCCATTTCGATTATCGAACAAAAAGGTAGAACATTAAAATTCTGTATAAATTCTTACGCTGCTCAGTGCATTGTGGTTCCAAATCCCGTGCTTTAAAAGGAAGCCCTTATCTTCAACGAAGAAGGCGGTCGGCCTATGGCGAGGAGGAGGAGGAGACGGCCCCGGATACCAGAAGTTCTGAAGCGAGCATGTGGCTGCCGCGTGAACACTCTGGAGTGTTCCATACTCTCATTGCTTCCCACTCCTCCGCCTGATTCCCCTCTCGACTGTTCCTGCAATGGCCGGTTGTGTCTTGGTTGCCTCGGTCAATCTCATCTCGTTTGTGATGAAGACCCCTCGGACTACCTACGGTTTCTCACCAACTCTTTCTGCTTTGTTTCACCATCGGCCCCGCCGCCTCCGACCAACTTCTCCACCTCCGGATTAGGTCTGCGCTATGTGAGTATATGATTTTTGGCTCAATATAGAAGATTTATGCCGTTTTTACATTAGAGGGAGCAATGGATCCAACAGTTGAGGGTTATCGGCTTCTAGGGTTTAGTGTTCACAGCAGGAAGTGGAATGGCTATGGGGTTCGGTGTTGTACAGGATTATGGTGGACATGACTGTATAAACACCATTTACGAGAAAATGAGTAGCATATTTCATATGACATTTGTGCTGGTTAGGCAGTTGGATTAGCAAATTTTGTTGTGTTAATGCTTATGATCTTTTGAGGCAGGTCGGGTAGGGCGGAGACGGATTCAGCAATCTGACTTTAGAATACCTACAAAAGTAAGGAACTTTAACTAGATTCACATAAGAAAACAAAAAGTGTGCACTGATAAAAAAAATAAATAAATTAACTTAACAAAAGTTTGGTATTGGAAGAACCTTGCGTGAGAGTTCGCAATGCTGGTTCAGAGTGTATTTGACAGTCCAAATGGACCAAGCAAAGTTTAGAAAATATCATTTTTAAATCAAAATGTTTTTTTTTAAGTCAATAAAATTGATGAAATTACATAACTTACAATTTAAATCAATGGTTGTTGACCTTCCTGGGCTTCTCCATGTGTTTCAATATGCATTCTCTTACCACAAGTGCTGTTATTGTGCCCACTCTACCTACATTGACTACAATGAAGCTTTAGGTTCGCTCTATCTTACTTTTTTTGGCTTTGAATGTGATGCTTGTGCATAGCGGTGTAAACGAGTCGAGTCGAGTATTTGCCTTATCAAGCCTAACTCATTTAATCCTTAATGAGCTCGAGCTCGAGCTCAAGATCGAGATCGAGCTCGATTAGTGGGCTCGAGATCGACTCATTTAGAAAATATCAAGCTCGAGCTCGACTCGAAAGCTCGAGCTCGTTTGAAAACTTACAACACCCCTACTTGTGCATCAACAGCTTTTTTTTTGCATCTTTGATGGCCTGCCTCTCGAGCTTTTGTACCTTGGTAGCAATGGAGTAATTTTATCACTCTTTGGCCACTCATCAGCACCATTTAAAGGTTTTATGCTGCACTTATAACTTCTCGTATAATTTTCTACTGTGCATTACAAATGAATATAATTCTCAAAGTCGCCCCATAACCATATGAATTGTAGCACATACATGTTCACACGGTACTTCACTTAGCTCCCCCTTCCTTTAATTTCATGCTTTTAAGTTCAAGTTAACCTTTTATTGAGCTCCCTGCATGGTACTTATTTCATAGCTGTTGTTCGAAATATGAATGCAGTTTGGAAATAGAAAATTATTTGACAATTAGAAACATGAAAAATCCATTTGCATAGAGAGCAAAAATTTGAAAGTTTCTATAGATAATTATACATTTTTGACAGAAACAACTTTGCATTACATATGAAGTTAAGGATTACAAGCAGCATATGAGCAATTGATTAAAACATGTATACTTTTGGACTTATATAGCCATGTACAATTATGACTTATGTTCACTCAACAAACAAATCATGCACATTCAATTGCTTTAAACACCATACAATTTGCTTGAATAACTAGGTTGTCAAATACATAAACTTGGAAGATAGAGAGGAATTTAGCTGATATTACTACAATTTTGCAAATCAAGTCCACATATTACATATACTAGCTAGGGAGAAGCAAGAGCCACGAGTCCATAGTGAATGTCAGTCGGCTTATGCCCTTCAACTTAGATGATGTTAGTAGTAGATCCACATATATAAACTTGTAAAACGACGACGTTTTTTAGAGCTGTTGAACTGAAATTCCATATCAGTTTCACCTATTTCAACTTCAATCATGAAATCACTAGTGGCATGCAATGGAGAGCAGATTGATCTCTAAGCCACAATTAATGATGACCATGGAGGTGTTATTTGTAGAATTGAAAGTACCAATACATCCAAAGGCTTTTGAAACGTCTCTAAAATTATCTACATGGTGTTGGAGGCAACAGGGAATAAAAGGTGTTTGGATAAAACTGCCAATTGAACTTGCCAGTCTTGTTCAAATTATTGTCAAGGTGTTCGAAAATTTTTTATATATATAAAAAAGAAAGAGTAAAAGGAGATTCCAACCGAACCATTTAGCCCACGTTTCACACATCGTGATCGAAACAACTGTTCTTGCAAGCCGTATAAAAGAAGTGAGAGAAAAAAAAGGGATTTTTACGCAAAATTGAGTTTTCAATTTCTTGAGATATGCTCCTTCGTGAGTGAAACCCACCGTCCGGGCCTTCCTCTATTGTTTTCTTGATCACTTTCAGCCAACCAACCCAATTTGGCTACGCTGCTCGCACCGATAGCCGACTTCACCTGCACGAAATCCTCTTGCCTGAGTTGGTCCATGAGCCTGAACCCAACTCTACCTAGCGCAGGCGAATTCGCCTGCCGCCCATCTCCCGCATGCGAAGCACCCCCACTCCAAGCCGACCTCTGCTCTGACTTATGCGAGCGAATCTTAGTCTCTAGTCCGCCTCTCAGACGCAAAAAAGCCACTTTTGTACGGCTCCCCAGGTGCGAATGAGACCCCCATGTCGCCTCTTGCGCATGTATTTCTTCGAAACACCCTGTGCTCGCCTCCCACAACTGATCGAACAAACCTCCGTCCACCATTTGAACACCATCATCCACAAGGTTGAAACTCACGCCCGACAAGCTTTGTCTCCCGTCCGCTCCACCTTACAACAAAATAAGGTCTGAGCAGCCTCTTTTGTTTATGTTTGCTTCCAATAAACAAGCTACCACACTCCTGTACATGCATACGACAAAAATTAAGCCTTGTTTATTTGCAATCCGAATTCACACTTGCTTTCTTGATTTGAAACAGGAGGGAAAAGAGAGATTTATTGTATTTAATCATTATTATTAGTAAAATAATAATAATAATAATTAAAATTAAAAGAGATTTGTTATATTTAATTAATATTATTAATAAAAAATTATTACTAGTAATAATTATAATATAATTATTAAAAGAGAAGAAAAGAATCAGACGTCGCAATCTCGAATTGGTGGAGAATTGAGGACATATTTCAGGACAAAAAAACATCCCGAAGCCTTTGGTTAATGAATCCTATCAGGCTGGGCAGACTAGAAGGGGCAAATGCCCTACCTAACCTCGCCTCGTGAGGAGGGGAAACGTCGAATTACAAACAGATGCTCAAAGACCAATTCCGGGACCACACAATGTCTCGAAGCCCTCAGCCGTTGAATCATATATGCCTAGGCGGACTAGAAAAGGCAAGTGCCCTCATGACCTCCCTTCGTAGGGAAGCTGCCAAAATTTCCCCGAAAAGCTATCGACTTTGCCTCGTGAGCTTGCCGAACTTGCAACAATTACTAGAGAAATTTATTGGATAATGGGCTATGTTGCACCGATACGGATACGACACGATACATATATGAGACACGCCAATTCTTAAAAAGACATGATACGGATACGGCGTTAATACGACATTATAATATATAAATAATACATAAAAATTAAGAAATTAATCAAATTGTAATATTTGAAATGACAAAAAAATTTGAAATAAAAGTAAGCATTAAATATTTAAATGTCTTGTACAACAACAAAAACAAGAAGATAAATGGTCCAACATATGAAATTTCAACTATTCGATAGAAGGAATGATAAGATTTGCTTCTTCGGTTGTTTGTCTTTGAGTTTCTATATCACCGTCAATAAATATCATAGCTTCTAATTCAGGCTCATCAAGTGAAAGATTAGCAATTTCTAATATAGCTTCTAATTCAGGCTCATCAAGTGAAAGATTAGCAATTTCTAATATTCCCATATTCTCAAGAGATTCAAATCCATCTCCAGGAACATCCCACATCCTGTTGTCTCCTTTCATATAAGTTGGAGTTTTCCTTAAGAGAAGCCGAAGGTTTGTATGCACATAAAATAAATCTTCAGCCGTTGTGAAGTAATTTTATTTCTCTTCATTGAAATTTTGATTGTTTATAAGATATTTATTATAAGGTCCTCCTAAAATTATATTAATTGTGTTTTTCATAGATATGGTTAATGAAAAAAATCAGATTTTGTTGTTGGGAACTTCTGGCACCCTAGTTTGGAGGCTACACTTGCTTTAAGTATATTATTCACAACTAAGGTTTTGAAAATTGAACCGGATATTGAACCAGAAGAGTGAATGTTTAAGGTTCAATGATAACTGGGGTTCAACAGGATGACATAATAAATATTAAAATTATTTTTAATGACTTAAATGAGGTAATAATGATTTTTCACTAATATAATATATAATATTATAATTCAGGATGATTTACCATTGAATATTTTGAATATGATCATAAATCAAAATTTTGGAACATGAAATTTTGATTGTTTATAAGATATTTATTTTCAAATAATAATAATAATAATAATTTTAAAATTTCAAAAACATAAGTCGGAGAGAGGTCAAATGTCCTGGAATCTCTAAATCTTTTATTACAACCGTTTGATCAAAATTAGAAGGTTAGAAATTGATATGTATGCGAATTGACCAGTTCATAAAAAATCAGATCGGTTCAACCATCGTTTCTTACGGATTATGCGTTGAAGCAGTTTTTGGACCGAACTGAATTGACCGGTGGATCAGTTCACAATTGAACTGGCCGGACCATCGGTTTGTTTTAGTATCTAAAATTATGATTATTCCTTCTCCTATCCGTATGATCATTCTTATGGTTATTGAGTCTGACAGTAATTAATTTATAAGAGTGCAAGTTGAAAGAATTGTTACATACGTTAGAAGGGGTTGTGGAACCTTATCTAGACCTCTACATGAAAAACTGATGAAACTATTATGAATGCTGACAAGGAGATTGGAGCTATTATCTTGTTTAATTCAGTCATGTTACTCTTTTTCCATCTACAAGTTTTCTTTGCACCATCCATGGAACATGTAATGAGTCATTGATGGAACTTTTGCCCGGGTGCTATGTATCGTCAATTTTCCAATTTATTTGTTTGAGTTCACAATGGATGAAATGGAGTTCTACTGCCCTAAAGGGATCATATCTTTTTGTGCTTGCTTTGAGCTTCTGCGTTTTCATGTCTTTTATGTACTTTTATTGTTTTCATTTATTTTTTGTCTACTGACGTATGCAGAAATTTTGTTAACTGTTCTTTATTTTGTTCTTCAATTACTTGTGGTTTGATCGCTACGGCGTAGGCAAAAATAATGAACTTTGGGTTATGTTGCAACTCTTTTCTATATTTCATTTTTAAAAATGGGATTTGCATGTCTTTGAGAAAAATCTAGATCCATATAGATGCATTTCTTCACATTATCTATCTGTGCTTCATGAAAGCTGGAACAATATCCAGAAATTACAGTTCTTGAAAAATTTGTATGCTTGTGTGATTCAATAACAGGCAGAAAAAAATCACTATTGGGTTTTAAGAATTAGAAGTCTTTTTTTCTAAATATTGCTTTTAGAAATTAAAGCCATTTTCTTAAATTCTTTCGTTTCTATTGTAATTATGTTTCTCTATGTTATGAGGTTGGTTGCTCACACTAAAGTGTTTCTCATGCTCTCTAGATGTGTAGGAACTGAGAATTTTTTATGCCCTCTTCCTAGAAACTTTCCTTTGAATTTTTTTCCCTAAAACGTTCTGTTGATGCACTGTTGTTCTATTTTATTTTCAGTCCACTTAACGATGTTATTAATATGTTTTTACCAGAAAAATGGTTTCTTTGCTGATCGTGCTATCAACTGCAGTCATGTTTTTGATCAATTGTTAGAAAGGGTAATTTCTTATGAGAAAAATGTACTCTTTAAAATTTCATTTTGCTTCATTGCTTGTACTATTTTGATGATTAATGGCAATGCGGTGATGACGAGTATGGTGAACTCAATTTTTTTTTAAATTTATATGCAGATTGGTGATGAATTGATGACATTCCTCTTATGTTATTCATCAATCTTCGTACCTCTTGCAAACCATAACTACCTTCAGGTCACAGGAGATCCCTTAAAAGGTACAAATTGTCCTCGCTAATTACCTTCTGCGAGAGCCATTGTCTCTCATAAACCTTGTCGTAATGTGAGTATGAGTTTTTTTCTGTCCTATGCGTCCCCTTATACTATTCTTGCCCTCATAGATTTACTGTTCTGTGATTTGCCAGGCTTTTTCTCCATTTATGATACCTGTGATTGTTGATATACTTTGTCAACACATATCAAGCAGTCTGATATTATGCCTTCCTAAGTAAGTTAGGATTTGGAAACATTATGCATCTGATGTAGAATGAACATGCGAAGATGAATTACTTTAAGAAATTTGCACACTTAATATTCCTAGAACAAATAATTATATCTTAATGGTGAATTTAAACGATGCAATAAAACACAAAGAGCGGTAAGAAAAGCTTAGGCCGAATCACACGCGTAAAAGTTGAGATCAGAAAACAATCAAGTTAATCTAACGTTGCATATAGGATTGATTTCAACAATAAATCCTTATGCTAACAATAAGATTAGTCACTAAGAGATATCTCTCACTCAACTCTCCAATAGCACTAAGTTTTAGCGGAGGAGTATTGACACTATTCTCATGAATCTACTAAGACCACTGTTGAGAGCAACTAGGAAGATATGTAATTTGGAAGAGGGGTTCACCTTTGTCGGGAGCACTAGAACCTGTGGGCAACAGATGAAGACCTTCCGAGGTGGGGATGCAAATGGGGAAGTTACTGAAATCACTGGACAACAATGACGAACTTCTGGCCAGCAGGTATTGCCTCTGGAGAACTCTGGACAGCAGGTAGAATCTGTCCAGAAATCTTTGGACAGCAGTGGAGACTTGCTGGAACCTCTGGGCAGCAGTTAGGAGGTCTTCCTGGACAGCTTCTTTACGGATTTGAGCCCTCCTATATAGAGGTCAGCAAGCTGGAATTGCAAGAAAAACTCTGTAACAGCCTTAGAATTCTCTGGACAGCAAAATAACTCCAGCAGGGGCTCTACTTCAAACGAGTAACCAGTGGAGGAGGGAGGGGGATGGAATGACTGGCTAGAGTAGGGAGGGGCGGCACAACTTTGGGCTAGATTTTGGATTCAATAGGTAGGAGACCAAAGAGGGAAAAACTGAAGTATGTTTCAGAATTTTTGAATTGGGAATTAAGAGAGGATTTGAATTTCAAATCCCAAGTAATTAAGGAGAATAAAGAGGTGGCTGATTTGGGGGAGAAGATTGGGTTTGATTTGGAAGGAAATAATCAAGCAAGAGAGGGAAGAGGGGCCGGCCATATGGGGGAAAGGATTAGGTGTCTAGGTTCAACGTATGGGGGCCCACGGATTCAATCAAGGATTTAAATCAATTCTGAATTTTAATTTCAGATTTCATTGAATGATGGGGTTTCCTAATCGGTATTGATTAATAAAGAAGATATTTGAAATTCAAATATTTATTGAATTCAAATGAATGCACCTTTCTAATTGAGAGGTTATTTTTGGAAAGTATTTAAGGTAGGTTCGAATTTTGAAATTCAAAATCCATGAGGCATTTGGAGGGAATTATGAGAAGTGTTTTATGAGTTTCCAAAACAAGCTTGGCCAATTAGGAGGGAAAATAATGAGTCCTCTAAATTGAATTTAGATTGGATTCAAAATTTGAAAACTTTCCTTAATCGAATTTTGCAATTAAGGAAAGTTTTTGAATTTCAAACTTTCCTAACTACTTTCTTTATTGCAAGAGGCAATTCAGGGAGTCATTATGACGATTAAAATCATCATAATGATTTAAGGTGTAGGTGGGGCCGGCGGTCAAGAGGGAAGAGGCGGGTTCAGCTTGGGTGGAGGTGGTTAGGAGCTAGGCCGACGAGTGGGATTGTGGAAGGGGAATTTGGTGGGGATCAAGGGGTATTTTGGTGGCGGCATGAAAGTGGAGGGATGACGAGAAATCGGTGGGGAATAGACGAAGATAGAATAGAAAACGTAGACGAAGACCACGAGCCAAGGACTCTTCCGATGACTGGTGGGTATTGCGTTTGCTTACCTTGAGCTCTCTATCCCTTCTCTCTATTCACTCACAAGAAGAAGAAAAACATAGAAGATTTTATTATTAAATCATCATCCCAAAATACAAAACAACTAGCCTATAAATAGGCCTCATGAAAAGAAAAGAAATAAAAGACTAAAATGCCCTTCGGACTACAATATTACATGACCACCCGTAAGGGTATAAAGGGAAAAATAACAATATAAAATATACTATTACAAAAAACATATAAATAAATAACTCAAGATCAAGGTTTTAAAAGGCGAAATCGGGAATCGAGGCGTTTTTTCTAAGTGAGGCGAGGCGTAAGCCTCGAGGCGGATCGAGGCGTAAGCCTCAAAACGATTTAAAATAAATTAATTTAAAATTATAAATAAGAAAAAAAAATAACAGAATATTATATCAACTATTAATTTGAAGATTTGTTTTAGGATAATATTAGTGGAATACAAGATTTAAAATAAACTCACTTAAAAATAAAAAATTCCCTTAGGATCAAGACCCAAAGCAGGCTCATCATCACTTTGATTGTCTTCAGAAGAATCTTCATAATTAATGTCAAAGTCATCCTCTAACTCGCTGCCCCCTGGCGGGGTTTGACCTGTCCGATCAGGTCGCGGGGTCAAGGGGCAGCGCCCCTGCGGGGGTTTTCGGGGGCAGCGCCCCCGGAACAAAATTATATTATAAGAGTAATTTTGAAATTCTGCTTGTTGTATATGCTCAATACTACAATCTGATGAAGCGAGACATGAAGCAAATTATGGGAAGAAAGATCGTTACCTAGCCGTGAAAAAAGAACCTTCGATTACAAGAAGCTAGAGAAGAAAAAGCGAGACATGAAGCAAATGACGGGAAGATTACGGGAAGCAAGAGAAGAAGAAGAATAAATCGTTACCTTCGATCGCCTCCAGCTATGTTCGAACTCGACCGAGCTGTGGTCGTCCAAGTTGGCGGAGTTCGCCTTTCAGTTCTCACCCGAAGCAGAAGCAGGTATGTTATCCTAATACTCGACTCTTATACGACTCTCACCGCTTGGTCTATATACTTACAAATCGAAGCGGTGCCTCGTTTCGCTTCGAGGCGTTACGAACCGAAGCCTACGCCCCGTGTGAAATAAACGCACACTCCGCCGAATCCAATGAGGCGTAAGCCTCAACGCGCAAATGCTTCGCCTCGCCTTAAGTCGCGCCTTAGTGCGTACGCCTCTTCTGCCTTTTTAATCGTTGCTCAAGATCATAGCCGTTGATCTCTGATGTCCTCATCATTCTCCCCAGGTGGGAGAAAACTCGACTCCGTCGAGTGGGTGTCTTAAGAACTCTCGTGTATTTGAGTCGATCAACTGTATCTCCTTGCGCTCTGATACCAAGATGATGTAGAACGAACATGCGAAGATGAATTACTTTAAGGAATTTGCACACTTAATATTCCTAGAACAAATAATTATATCTTAACGGTGAATTTAAACGATGCAATAAAACACAAAGAGCGGTAAGAAAAGCTTAGGCCGAATCACACGCGTAAAAGTTGAGATAAAAAAACAATCAAATTAATCTATCGTTGCATACAAGATTGGTTTCAACAATAAATCCCTATGCTAACAATAAGATTAGTCACTAAGAGATATCTCTCACTCAACTCTCCAATAATACTAAGTTTTAACGTTGCATCTTTCTCCATTTTTTCCCCCTTTAGCTATACCTCCCCTAAGCCCACCAAACCGCCGGCCCTAGCTCTCTTAGTCGCGGGTCCTGCTCATCTTCCCCTATTCATTGAGTTTCCTAATATAGTGGATTTAATTTAGGATCAATTCGAAATTCAAATCAATTGAATTTGAAATTCAAATTCTTTCCTAATTTTAACTAATCTATTTTTGGAAAGTTTCCATAAACAATTCCAAATCAAATTCTATTTGAATTTGATTTAATCCCTTGCCTATTAAGCCTCCCTTGATTAGGCAACCCACTAATTAATTCCCTAAATCCCTCTCTCTATCACCATGCCTCCGGCCCCCTAGCCTAATTGCCCCCTCTCTCTCTCTCCAATCCCTCTCTCTCTTATTAATTCACCTACCCCAATTTGGGAATTAAATTCCCCTCCTAACTCCTTTCCCTCTTAATTTCGAAATCTGAAATTTACTTCAGAATTTTGGATTTAATCATCTCCTCCAACCTAATCCTAACCCGTGTGTGGTTCCCCTCTTTGGCCGAACCCTTATCCTCTTCTTATCTCTTATTTCTTGTGAGGATTCCCTCTCTCAAGAGATCTAGGAGCTTTGAGGGACGTTGCCGATACCACCACATACCACAAAGCAAATGCAAGACCGATCCGGAACTTGGTTACGTCCTCTCTTACTACGAGCAATGATTTGTTTGCATCCTGCACTCGACCTTCTTCGACGTCAACCCACGCATCGACCACACCGTAGAAGAGTACCTAGAGCACATCTTGGATACCTTGGTCGAGACTATTGAAGAGCAACTAGGTACCGTTCAGTGGAGGATTACATCCGATATGTGATGGTCTTCTAATCTTCCTCTTCTTGTATTCTTTTAAGTCTAACCCTCTTCCTTATGATTTGATTTTAGTCATGAAGATCATGTTCGCCTAACTCTGCCGAGCTTAGTAAACGTAGGGATTGAGTGCAGTTCATTGTTTCTAATCTTATTGTTAGATTAGAGATTTTCGTTGAAAGCTATTATATTTGCACGTTGTTGATTTCCTATGTTATTTTGATGATTCAAAGTTCTTATTTTGCAACTTAGCCTAAACGGAAGTGATCACTCTTACGTTTTATCTTGTCTTTTTATTTGCTACTAGTTCTAATTTTATTACTCTAATCAATAAGTTGTGCAAGCTCTTATTAAAATCATTTCAAGCATTGTAGTCCAACATCATAAGGTGTCTTGTATCAATAACCCCTGTACATTTATTCAAATTATTAATTGCTAAATTTTATGGAAAACATTGTATCCTTTGAACCCGAGTTTGAAATAAATGCCAAATTTGATTGTAAGACCCACTGAATTCACCCTTATGTGTTCAATTGCTTCTAGTTCCTGTATTAAGTAGTCGTAAAGTTCGAAAGGCTGGAGATTTTCATCCTTCAGGGTTGCTTGAAGTTCCAGAAGACAAGGGTGTACCATCATTAAAAATTGGAGACACTGGTGAACTCAGCTCACCCTGTAACGATGTTTCAGAAAATTCCTCATTTCATTTGCATTCCAGGAAAAGAAGAAGAGATTTTAGTTGGAAACGGAGAAGGAAGCGCCAAAAGGTATCTATATATGATGGGTTTTACTATTAAGTCATGAGACTCATGTTTAGTTCTTGATAATATTCATATGCCCTATTCACATCAGCTTTGGCATGCATGCTTTATACCATACGGCTTTGTGAGACTTTTTGTTATTCTGTTGATATTTCCAAGTTAAATTTCTTGAAAGGTAAATTTTCTATTGTTGAAGGGATATCTTAATATCAGCCTAAGAAGGATGTTTGGAAAAAAAAATTTATGAATCTAATGCTGACTTTTTTTGCTTGGTAATGTATGGCCAGTGCACTTCAATTGAAATTCTCTAAGTTTTTTGCGAAGGTTTTTTTACTTATCAATATTTTATTTCTTAAATCGATTTGTTTTTTTACCACGATCAGGAAAAACATCTCTTTTATCGATATATGTCATACAAAGACTTAATTCTTCTATTTTCACTCCATTTTGATTTTCTTTCTTAAAACTTATTCAAATTGTGATTTTTGTCAATCATACCTTTACTGAAACTCGTCAACCATATTCTTTAGAGCCGTTTGAGTTAGAACATTGAACTGAGCTTATTCTATTTTTGGCATGTGACTAAGCACATCATGATGCTATAAAATGTAAATTTTATCATTTATCTTGATATATTCTTTAGCGTTGGCATTAGTAATTCAATATTTTTGACATGGTTATCTTTTGTAATTTTAAAAAAGATTTGTGTTGTTTTGTATGCTATTGCTCTTCAACATTATATAGGGCAAAATTGGTCACCTCTCTATAACTGCTCATTTATGTTTCTTGAAAATCTCATTTATAATATCTGTTGAACTAAACGTTTAGTGAAATAAATAATTCTAATCAAGGTTTAAAATTACTCAATTGAGTATTGAGGCTTTTTCCGTTCGTGAGGCGAGACGTAAGCCTCAAGGCGTAATCAAACCTTTTTCTCAATATATAGATAAAAAAATTACGGAAAGTCAAAATGAAAATTTGTTTGTATAATATATTAAAAGTTGATAGAAAAAATAAATTGTTATATATATAAAATACAAAAATACACAAGATATAAAGTGACAAGTAATAAATTGTATGAAATAGAATTGAAACCTAAACATCACAATAATTAAACAATATAAAATATAGTTCAACTCAAAATTGAATCTTTCCCAATATTCTTCTCATTGACATTTAATTCAAAAAAGAAATAGTAATGACATAACAACTGAGAATTCATCAGCATTATCATCACCGAGGTCTTCATTTGAATCATCGTCATAATGAATTGCTCTCTCTCCTGACTCATCATCTCTGGAGTTCAATGCCTCCCAATTTGTTTCTTCTTCCTCTATATCAGTTATCTTCCTCTTCCCTAAATATTTTTCATCAATATAAATATGAGTAATACTTCAAAATAAATAGGTTTTAACAAAATAATTTTTTTATATACCTTTTTTGGTTTGTTGTTATTGTGCTTGGGTTGTAGTGAATGTAGATGTTCTGTTTCTATCACCATCAAATAAATCAACGTTCAAATTTTCCTCTCATAATTCAAATGGTATCATCCTATTTCATTATTTGTAAACCACTCATCATCAGATGCTATATTCTTACAAATCAAATGGTTTTCGTCATCCTTCAACCCTTTCTTATTCAAGCTCTTGTCTTTAAGTCTCTTATTGTACATGATGTACACTAAGGATTTCAACCTTAAAATTGTCAAATGATTTCTCCACTTTATTATATATGCTCTAGTTGCATTCACATCCAGATGAAATGCACATTAATTTCAAAACCTCTACAACAAAACATTGCAATTATATAATGACATTTCTAAATTGAATCCACCACTCAACTATATATATTAGTACAATTAGTACTTATAAAATGATTTTTAAATAAATAAGTACATAATATGTTAAAGCAACAAATAAAATTAGCTGGGATCGCTTGGAAACATTGTGTTTTGCCTATTGTAATAAAAAAAGTCCTCTTTATTCCTAAATGGAACTAATTGCATGTCAACATTTGATCTTTCAGTTGAATAAGCTATAAAAATTTATTCATGCAATGATATAATCCTAATTTTATCTCAGGATTTGTTGACTTAATTTTTACATATTAATATTGAGAGTTCAGATAATAGCCTGCTGCATATAAGTGCTGATGAAGTTGTATCTCCCACATGTTATCAATGATATTCCAAATTTCTCTAAAGTTGTCTTCTCCTCCTAAATTGTGGGTAATCATTTCTTTTGCTTCATCCTTAACATTGCTTATGAAGCCCATGATAGGCTTTTTCTCGTCATCCACCATATTTAAAACGTGCACTAGTGGCCTAGTGGTTGTGATGGCATACATGACACTTTGCTGTCATTTAGAACAATTTTCCTAACCTTTTTCCCCTCAGGTTTTCTTGCCTAAGCACAAAGGTTGTCTTGACTCCAACATACTCTGAATTGTTAAATAAGCCATAACAAATCTAATTGTTATAGGTCTAAGTATTTCTTTCTTTAAAAATTTTCTTATAAGCGACAAAATCTATGATTGATTATAAATAAATTTACTTATTTTCTTAGATTTTGTCAGTGCATTCTTGTGCTAGGGAAGTTCCCCAAGCTTCTCATGGATGAACTCTATGCAATGTGCAGCACATGGAGCTCAATACAAATAATTTATGTTATACTTAGATTTAGTCCCTGCAACCCTATAAGCATTGACATAATCTTTTAACACTTGAACAACCAAGTGCTCTCCAACCTCCTCTAGAGTAAAACTATCTTTTGTAAATGGCTTGTGAGCAAAGCTCAATGAGCTTACAAGCCAAACTTGAGCCAGACTTGGCTCATTTAAAAATATACTAATGTAAATTATGATTAAAATATCTTAAAATTCAAGAGTTCAAGTATAAAGCTATAAAAATATTTAAAAATTATATCTCAACTTGTTATAGAAAGTGAATTTTTATTTTTTCTCTTCTAATCTCTCATTTCCTTTTCTAAATTTATTATAACAATTGCTTGAATTATAATCATTTTCTATCTTTTATAATAAACAAGCAGGCTCGTGAGTTTATGTGAACTGTTGAGTTAAACTTGAGCTCAAACTCTGGGTGATTCGAACTCTGTTTGCTCATTTACACCCCTAGTTGCAAGCATCAAGTTCCAATCCTATATATATGCAGTTTGAGTTGACAAGGTCTGTAATACTATGCATGTTCAAATGAATTCAAATGTTTTGCAAAGCCATGGACCCAATTCTCTACTAGTAAGCGGGCAGAGTTCATAAGGTTTCAAGCAATCAGGTGTAATCAATCAAGCACCATCTTGATGGGCATATCCTTCATCATAATTAGATGGGCCTATTTTAGAAATCTAACTCTTAAACTATAAAACAAAAAATTTCAAACATCATTCCTTGATAATGGATGTGTTGTTACAAATCTCAAATGAAGGGGATTTTGCTATTAAATCAGCGGAATTCTAATGCAATTCATGTTAGGCTCAAAGCCTGATAAAATAACAAAAATCTAAAAAACTACAAAAGTCTAAAATGTTCAAACAATTACTGACCGGTCAAAGCTTAAAGTAGTCAGCCATCTAAGTATCTAACCCTCCATCATTTTTACAAATTTCTCTTGGATGAGATGTTTTAAGTGTGAACTAATCACTTAAAAAGTAAATGCCATATTAAGTGTATCTGAGTGATCACTTTATAAAATCCCATACTAATAAGAACATACATGTGTTCTTTGGGCAGTGGTTCATTGCCGAATGCCACTATTATATCAAGTTTACTAAGTAAAGCTCAAATGTTCCTTAAAAGTTGATCCCATCGTTAAGCACATTATGGGGGCATGAACTTTTTGTTTTAGCTAGGGTTGACTTAAAACTGGCTTCTTTGGCAGATATCTTGATGTGATACCAACAAGAATTGCACGAAAATATTTTAAAGGATTACAAAGCTTGCTACTTAAGATTAAAGTTTTGTAAGATTAGATTAGAGAACTTTCAATCGTCAATCTTATTGTAGTAAGCAGTTACAAATCACAAGTTTAAGACAAGTTAAGATAGATCCGAAATTATCACAAAAAACAAATATGTTGTAATACAATCCCACGGTTAATATTTAGAAAGTTCACCATGAGTTACCATGCTCACTCACACTCAAAGTATGGCTTAGCGGAGAAAGGTCTTCAACACACCCAACGATGCCACGAGGACGATCGCAACGCCAATGGTCTTAATCAACGGAAAGGTCGGCGGTGGAGGAGAGGTAGCTGTGGACGGGGAAGGTGTAGATCTTCCAACGAGAAGCCAAGCCGTCTTAGGCTTTTGAAGATCGATCGTCGATGCGCTTGACGTATCTTTCCGCCGTCTCGTCGTATTCCTAATCGGGGTCGTAGAAGGGAGAGAGAAGAATGTCAATCTCCCCACGATCGTTGTAAGCGAACCCGTGATCAACCTCGGGATCGGCCATTCGACATTGAAGAGGAGATGTGAGGACGTCGTCTTCTTCTTTGGCTTCAAAATTCCAACCCCACCTGTATCCTTCTTCTCAAAGTAAGCAAGTTTAGGGTGTCTTGTTTGAGTCAGGTTTGTTTGAGTCAAGTTTGTAAGAGTCAATGGTTGTAAGTCTTTTTATATAAAGTTGTGTTTTATAGTATTTGTGTTATTTTAAGCATTTTATTTCTTTATTTTGTTCCTAGAAGAGTTGTCTTTTTGTGATAAAAAATAAGGGTCCCCATTATTTTTTGATTGCATCAGGTTTTAAGTGCATTTGGAGGGAAATCCAATTTGAAATTAAGTTCAAATTTCAAATGAGGTCAAGGGGAGTTAATTGGCAATTAATGGGAGCCCATCATGGGTGGCCGACGACATAGAGAGAGAGGGAGGTGATTGGGGAAGGATTTAGGGAGTTTCCAAAGAGGGATTGTGGATTAGGGAAGTTATTATGAAATCCAATTTATTTGAAATTTAAATTGGAGTCATGAATAAAACTTTCCTAAATGGGAATTCCAAAATTGGAAAGATTTGAAATTCAAAAATTGAATTTCAAATTGATTCAAATTTTCCCTCTCATGCATAACTAAATTTGGAAGGTATTATGATGATTGAAAGCATCATCACAATGGGAAAAGGGGATTGGAGGGGGCGGCGGCAAGAGGAAGGGAGGCGGGTTGATGCCTTGGATGGTGGATGGAGTTAGGTGGTGGAGCTAGTGGACGGTGGGCTTGGGGAAGGAGGGATTATGTGGGGAGCTTGGTGGTGGCCTTGGACGGTGGTGGGGTTATGGAGGCCGGCTGGTGGGAGTGAGGGAAGAGGTGGAGAAGACGACGATAAAGGAGAAAATCACGAGCCGTGGACTCTTCCAACGACTGGTGGGCCTTGTAATTGATCACTTTGAGCTCTCTCCCTTCTCTCTAGCTCTCATGCAAGAAGAAGAAGAAACAAGTAAAATTTCATTAAACATTCATCATCTAATACCTAAGAGAGTGGCCATATATATAGGCCTCATAATGACAAATAAAAACAAAAGACAAGAATGCCCCTTGGGCTACAATAGTCACCAGCTACCGATAAGGGCAAAAATGGAAACTGAAAAATAAAATGACTAATATATAAAATGCATCAAAAGTAAAGACTCTCCATCATGGCCATCGATCTCCTGTGTCGAGAGACGACACGTCGAAACCTCGTATCGATGTCCCCATCATATCTACCCCAAGGATACAATGCGTTTCCTTTGAAGATGCAATCACGCTTGCCAAAAAGGAGTACAATATCAAGTTTTGTCGATTATTTACAATAAGTAAATTAAGTTCAATTACAACTCGGGATGCAGAATAATGAGATATAGATCAAGTTCGTCATCATTCCCTGACCATCCGCTTTAAAGCTAATTATCACTATAGACACTATTAACTTAAAATTTTCTATCACACTCAAATCTATGTTACTGTAAGCTAAACATTTAGAGCCTGCCAACTAGGCTTATAGAAAGCACTCTTTTGTGATCGGGAGGGGTACCAAAGGGCTTGTTTCAAAAGGGTTTGTGTCTATAAAAAATCACCAGATTATGAAGTCCTTGCAAAATAAGTGTCTTATTTAATATCCAATTTTCCTGTTGAAAATTTAACCTAGTAACACTCTCATAAAAGAGCTGGGCGTAAATTTTCATAGCTCACATTTGGCGTGCAATATTCTTTTTAATTGCATTTGAAAATTTGTTTATTTTGACATTCTTCTTTTTCTTTGCTGCTTTTCCATCGAAACCATTGTTTAGAACTATTCACATTCGTGGTTATTTTTTTTCCTTAGTTTATGCTGGATAGCTTGTATAGTTTTTATTATTATCTTTCACTCATAATTTGTTTGCAGGTAAGCTATCCATGCTTAGATTGTATTGTTTGGCATTCTCCATGTAGTCCTGAATTGGGAACTTATATAGAGAGAAATTTCATGTTCTATGCTAGACCTTCAGCGCATTCCATGTTTCCAAGGCAGCGTATCCTTCTTTTTTGATAAGTTTGTTTTATATGTGAAAGGTTTGCTGTTTATGAACATATCTTGACGAGGTCAGATCTTTTATAAATTTATTTTAATGTTGTTCCTCGTGGCTATGTTTCTGTTCGCCAGAGTTTTTTTGGTTGGGGCTTGCTAAGGCACCTACTGGCTCGAGGATTTTACGCACTTGGCTTTCCTTTTGTCCATGACCTTATACTATCCGCAAAAAAGAAGAAAAAACAGCACTGAAAATTCTATTTAGGAAAGTAGGATACAGGACGCGAACTCTTGATTTCTTTTGGAGGTTTCAGGGTATAATACCATGATGCTCTGTTTAAGTGTTATTCTTAGAAAATGTTATTGGAATATATTTGTGGAATTTGATAAACAATTTGGATGCCAAAGCTGCATGTATTGATGTGAGTAGAAAAACATTGATATGTTTAAAAACTATCACACTCTATTCAGCATAATCTCTATCTATTACAAATCATAATGAACTAAGGAAAGAGAAGTGAGAAGATCATTTCATCATACCCATGTTTGTGTGGGCTCATGCACTAGCATTGCCACATTTTTTAAGGAGAGTTTTAATAGATTTTGTGTCACGCCTCATGTCATTCCCCTACCAAATGACGCAGGATGCAATAGTGGGAAACCTATTATCTCTCTAACATTTATAATTCACAAACATTTTAATAATATTCATGTCACATTTCACCACATTCATCCAAAAAGCGGAAGCATTCAAAATTTTTCATTTATAACATATGTATATAAATATAGAGCAACAAATAATCCCAAAATATTTTCACGACCTATCTTACCTAACTATATGATACGGAAGGTGGCCGGCTCAGTTAGCTGGTCCAGCAAGAGTCGGATCAGTAGAACTGGGCGGAAGCAACGACAAGGGTTTCAGCCCCCCTATGGGGCCCATCAAATCTATAGTTCCATATATAAGGAAAAAGATTAAGGAAGGAATTAATGTGGGGTTTGAAATCAAATAGGAGAGGGAGGTGTAAGGAAAGTTTCCTAATTGCGTTTAGATTATCTAAGAAAGCTTCCTAATTAGGTTTATTATATGTTAAGAAGATTTGAATTATTTAAGGAGGCTTCCTAAGGGTTTATTATATGTTAGGAAGGAATCAATTTGAGAGAATTTTATTAGGAAGTTTCCAAATATGTTTCTTATATATTATGGCTATTAAGGGGGAGTTGTCTATGGTTGATGTTTATGTTTTTGTTGGAGGCTTCGTAGCGGCGTCTAGGTTGTTCGGGAGAACCGATCTACCTCTTGAATCTTAGATCACATGTATCATGTTGTTTCTTATTATAGTATTAATACAAAGGCAGCCACTGCTTTGGTTTTACTGCAGTTTTCCTATTTGTTATTTGATGTTTTGTCTCCAAGGCGTATCACTATACTACAAAATATAAGTTTTAAATTTATATGATTTTACTTGGCTTCAATCTTATCTTTCCCTTTTCCTGTAAAAAACAACTAGAATAAAAAAAAATTCTGTGAGCAATGAGATTTAGAAAGATATACAATTCTAATACAGAGTTTAAGAGAAAAGATGAGTGAATAATATGCATATTTTTATGATTTAATTTTATAAATTATTTAAAAAATAAATGAACATATATTTTCTCACATGAATTAGTAATATTGTAATGTTTGTTACAGTGCCATATATATACTAATATCTTGTCATTTAATGATATAAATGTCCAACTTTGAATTTTTTTATATAGATACTTCATTTAGTAATTATGTTCTTTTTATCTTTAATTTGATCTTAACTCTTTGAATGTGTCATGATTAGATGTCTAAGTATCTGGCCATTATCATAACATTAAATTAGTCTTTGATTTCATAGTAATGTTTAATGGAGCAAGATAAAGTCCAATATTATCGCTATTGAACTACATTGAGATGCTAATGCTTCTATTAGGGTCCCTTTTATCCCACCTGCGCAGATATTATAACACGTTATGGTCATCCATCAACTAAAATGCATTCTTCAGGCTTAGCAATTTATGATCAACTATTTAACTGGTAATTAAATGATTCGTGCATTAATATTAAAGAAATCAATATAACAATGCAATTATCTGAACAAAAGGTATGCAGTTGATAGCTTGGTGTTTTTTTTTTCCAAAATGTTGTTAATTAGCGAAATATTTATATAATTATAATATATTTAATTTTGAATTTGAACTATTAAAATTTACATGTGATCAGCTACACTTGAATACTTGACTGTAGATACATTTAAGAAAATGAATAATTTATAATGTATTTCATACTAAACTTTTGCTCATATTAAATTCTACATGCTGAAAAGTCTATTTTTTTTCTAAACTAGAATTTGCATTTCTTACCACTGTGATGAGTTGTCTCCTCGATTTAACACCCCGCAACCTTTACGCTTGTATTTTTTCCTAAGTTAATGAAATACTTTATTGTTTATAGATCAAATTTACTGTAGCCGGGGTATAAGTGTCGACGCTTGGAGTGTATGCAAAGATTGAGTTAAGGGTAGTTAAGTAGATTGGTGATTAGTTAATTATTTAAGTCCCTATTTCTTCCACTACTGAAGCCTTCCTACCTTAGTTGCTCTCGGGGGTAGTTAAGTAAATTGGTGATTAGTTAATTATTTAAGTCCCTATTTCTTCCACTACTGAAGCCTTCATACCTTAGTTGCTCTCGGGTTATGGTTTGAGATCGCCCTTGGAGGAGCTCCGCTAGGTGCTGTGGGAGTTGATTGTGGTTGCCGGTCAAATCAATGCAGGAGAGGAAAATCAGGTAAGAAGAAAAAAAAAAAAGAAAAAAAAAGTAGAAGCATAGGAGAAATGGTAGTAGAAAGCTGAGAAGAGAAAGAAGAGGAAGAAGGCAATAGAAAAAAAATGTAAGGAATTTTGGTAGCTTATTTATAGATTTTTTTTGTGAATAAGTTTTGTTTAAGTACATTAGATGATTATTCAGGATATTCGTATTTTGGGGGAATTTAATTCCTAGAGTCATGTATGCGACATGAAAATTGGATGGTAAGTTTGAAATTGATGTAATTGTGTGAGTCAGAGAGTAGATCATGTGTATGGTTAATGAATGATTTGGGTTGGTGTAGATGCCCTATACGCATAAGTGGATGCGTAGTGTTCGACTTGGTGAGTCAGCGTGGCAAGGAGGTAAGATATGTATTCTAATAAAGTATGCAGGTTGATTGGGTATTGTTTGTATGCATGCATTCAAACTAGTTGTGGGTGACATGTGTCTATGTACTATTAAGCATTGGGTTTAGCCTAAAATCATGAGCCATATGACCATTCTATATGTAACTTTGTATAATCAATGATTCTATTATATTATGTTGCTATGTACAATTCTGTCATATGATGATTTGTAAGTTATGATTCATGCAGTAATACATGCTTATATAATGATACCTTTGACAATCCTATCAATCTACATGTTCTCACACAACCTGTAAAAGAAAAAAATAATGATTAGACCTTGACATCTTGACATGATACCTTCTGGAGATTGAAAGGAGAATTATGAAATGAATTGAAATCTATTTATGATTACGGATAGTAATATATGATGAATATATTAAAAACAATAGACAATTTATGATTTACGGACAATGTATCATTTCCATATTGAATTCATCTGGCTTAATGTGATGATGTTAATATTACGTTTAGCATTGTTCCTACATGTAGCAGTATTTTCACTAGTTACATTATAACATATTGTGCATAATTCCTGTTAAATGGTTACATGCAGTTTTTCTTACATTCACTTATTGATGCACATGTTAATTATGACTTTCCTGTACTTGGCTACTGTATTAGAGTTGGATATCTTTATAGGCGTCATAACTCACCATATTATTATTCTGGTTATTATTATAGGAAATGAGAATGATAAAGTTGAATCAGAATAGTACTAGGTTCAGTTTATCAAAGTAATGAAGTTTTGGATTGAGGTCAGTAGTCTATTAATAGTTATATGTTTTAGTTGGGCCAGAACAAAAGAGAGAACTTCCCACGGCCGCATATGTTAAGTGGGGCCAGAATCCCTCCCACATCTGCACAAAATAGATGGGGTTATAATATAACATATAGAGCCCTTGTATCATTTCAGAAATCAAAACTTTTCTAATGTCATTTAATGAATTGTGCAATAAGAATGTAATAGCTGATTAATTATGACTTTAAATATTAGTATGATGGTATATGAACTGCTAGAATTATCAAAATGAAATAACAATTCATGTGTAAAACCATACCTACTAATTATTTTCCTTTCTTCTTATAATTCTTGGAGAACATTTAGAACAACATTTTAGAACTTTTAGAGAACTGTCATGATGCAAAATTTTTTTCATTTATTTAATATACAAAGGAATCATCACAGAGAACCAATTGGTAAAATTTCAACTTTTTATATTCAAAGTGTCCAGAATAAAGCATCCTACATACACAAATAGTTACACGTTAAAAACATCGAAAAAGCACATTTTTGCCCATATCTTGTTATAGTTTTGTTGGAATTGAAATAAGAGACTGATGTTTATAAGTATACATTGTGTTTGATGAAACCATCAATGAGCCCGACGAACGAATTCAATTCCGTGGCCTTCAAAATTTTCTCTCTCCTCCTTCCTCTTTCTCTTCTCTTCTCCCTTATGTGGCAAAGTGAGGGCTGGGGGTGAGGGTTTGAGTGAGGTGAGGGAAAATGGATTTAGATATTTCTTTCTAAAACTCTATTTTTGATTTGTTGTTCTCCCTAAGTTGGCGATTTATCCCAAAATCCAGCTTTTTTTTGTAACAATATTATATTGTCAATATTTTGAGATAAATCGCCCAGTTAGAGGGTATGTTGCACCGCATGTTTATCTGCCTTAAGTCATTGCATCTTCTTCATATAATGCACGTTTCATGATTGCAAGTAGCCAAGTATCACTTTTGCTTGTTGTTTTACTTGTGCCTTAGTATATGTTTTGTTCACTTTTTTCTTTATTAATGCAGTACTTACAGGTTGTGAAATTTTGTTTATTCTAAGATATAATCCATATTTATGATGGCATGTTCATAATAATGCTATATATATTTTAAATTCCGTATGATATAGATGCTAAAAGGAATTCTGTGTAGGGTGATATCATGCGATAGGTTGATGATGACTTGAACTTGGAGAGATAATGTTAGATTAGAAGTTTTTACTTCCATCATATGAGAGAGTATTTATTCGTGATTCTACTTTTTGACTTGTGCTGATACGCCTTGCTTGATCTTGCTTTTACTCTGTTCATAAGTTCTTCAGCATTATGATTTTTTTTTTAAATATATTGTTTTATTCTCTTTGAAGGAGTTTTAAGTATAAGCGTCCTTACAAAAAAATAAAAATAAAAAAAATCCAGATATACTAAACAGGTTGAAGCCAACCAAGTCTGGTGCAATTTCCCTTCTGAACCATATTTTTGGGGTTTCTGCTAATGACATTGATTCACAAGAGCTCAATTCGAGTTTGAACTTAACCAAGTCAAAAGTGACCTGTTCTTGTTTCAAAGCATCCAACTCCAAGTGTTTGTAAGTCGTCATTTGTTTGTGTTTATTTTCATTTTAAGTTCAGTTTTAGCATTTAATATCCTTTTTAAGTTAAAGTTCAAGAATTTTTATTGGCCCTCTGTAACCATTTCAAACTTTCTACAGCATTATCGAGCATTAGAGCATTATATTTTAAATTTTGCTGATGTGCTTCATGTCGTGGTATAAGGTTGTCTGACGCCTCGCTAAAATAGCTGTTGACCTGTATACGGCAGTCTAAAGAAAACAAAAAAAAATTCATTTTGCGTACCTGCTCGACATCTACACGACGATGCCACACGAACGCCGCCCAAATCCCGTGGATCTCGCAAGTTGGACACCCGAGCGTCATTCATCGCACGTCGACAACGTGGCTTGCACGATCCCTCTGCCTCGTTAAAAACCGAGGAAATGAGAGAGCTCGGGCTCGCTCCCTCTCTAAGTTTCTCTCACTCTTGTTGCCTCTCCCGTTCTCTTTCTCTCATTCTCGCTCTCCCTCTGTCTCTCTTGCTCTCTCTTCATCCAGGCGGATCGGAAGTTATAGCAGTTTGATCGGAAGCAACGAGTGGAGCTCGCTAGCCGCAAGGGAAACTTTCTCCCTCTCCGCCTCCTTCGTTACTCCTTCGTGGCTGGTTCGACTTCGCACCTTCTCCGACTTTCCCTCCCCATTGGATCGGAAGTTCCGACATTTGGATCGGACGAAGACAACGGGAGCTCATTGCTACTCCGACTCCTTCGTGGCTTCTTCGGCTTGCTCCCTCGAAGGCTTTCCCTCCTGCAGGTCCGGAAGTTACGACATTTTAGATCGGAAAAACAACAGGAGCTCGCTGCCAGTGAAGGTAACTTTCTCCCTTTGCGCATTCTTCTTCGGCCAAATCCCCGAAATCTGCCGAACCAAGGGACCTTATAGTTAACACATTCATATTCGGCCTTCAAGGCTTTCAACAAAGAAAATTCATGAACAAAGGCATAAAGCCTACGAGAAACCCGATCCCCTATCGGTAAGTTGATAGGGTCAACAAGGTTCAATCAAATGGAAATGACCTCAAGTACACCCCGATGATGGCCGTGTTGAACGCTAATCTCAACCGGAGGGGTTCACAAATATTTTTAAATGTCCTCCAAGCTCCACCCAAAAATCCAAAATTCCATAAATCCTAAAATCCAGACATTTAAATTCGAAATCAAACCATCAATCACTCAAAGCAAAATTCATCCATCCTCCGCAACAGTTTGCCGGGGTGGACAAATCAAAATTTACTTCAGCTCACAAAGAGCTAAATGCCTAGTCGAAAATATCACTATGATCCATTCTCAAACCAATCTCCTGCCAATAAGGACGTGGTACGTGTCCTCTAACCGGCGGTTTTGCCGCCAAATGGCACCGCAGGATAAACGGTTATGACCCGGGGCCCTCTGAACCGAGTGGTTTTGCCGCCAAATGGCACCACGAAATACCGGTTATAGCCAGAGCCAATACGCTCCTTATTGACATCAAATCCTTGAGATATGAATCAATAGGATATGATCGATAGGGCACGAAGCCCTCTGTTAGCTAAGGTGGATTCAAATTTGTCCCCTTAGGCAAATATCCAACCCAGGTCTTCAAGGTCCCTTGGACGAAGCAACCCATGGCTGCCGACAAGGATCCTTCTGTCAGGTTGGGTCGACTACCTCCTCTGACTAAGTAGACCAGGGACCACGATGGCCCGGGACGACAGAACCATGGGATCTTGATCGGGTCCATCATCCATTCCCCCACCATCCGCTTTAAGTGCAAGATGATGCAATTTTTATTTTAAATATCAAATCTTCCAACCCAAAATCCAAAAACCCAATTGTTCAATTCCCCAAATCCAAACTTTTCAAATTCCTATGCCCATTGCTGCTACTATAGCCAGATAACACGTATCTCCATACGTATCTGATCGACGACTAACCTTAATCGAAAGTTCTCTCTCGTTATCGGGAGGGGTAATTAACTATAGGGGCTTGCGCCTATAAGAAACCAGAACTCAGATCATATAAGTCCTTGCAAAATGAGGGCGAAATCTCTGGGTAGTGTCTTATCTACAAATCCATCTGCCTTCCAAAACTTACCTCGGAACTTATTTAGTTAAAACTCCCTCGCCGAACAAGAAAAAAAGCGGCGGGGAGGCCGTGGCCGAATTTTCGGAGCCCACAATAGCTAGTTGTGATAAAAAAGGTAATTACAAATAATGCTTTTCCAGCTTGATCTTCATCTCTCGCTCCACATATAATGATTTTCAACGGGTATACGAACTAATTCTTCATAATTACTAGCAGAGAAACCTATTCTTTTCACTCTTATTAATATGCCACTGTAGCTACTTTTGTTAACCTAAGATAATATTTCATCAAATAAGAATACTATTCTGCTTACTATTATTTGTGAAAATAAATTTTTTTTTTTGTGAAAATCAAGAGAATCTATCATTTCATTGCAGATAAAAATATTGATCTTTATGGATAAAGTTTGGTTAATTCTTTTATGAAAAGTTTATTCAATTAATAAAAATAAAGATTTTAAAAATTATTTGTTAATTTTTATTTATTATAAGCGTTTCTGATGAGAATTTAATCTATAAAATTAACAGAATTTTTTTATCAAGCTAATTTTATTGCACAAAATAAGTGGGTACGTTTGTAAAAAGGAAAATTTGTAGTGGTTGTGGTATACCATTAAAAAGCAAGCAGATGCGTCTCTCCACGAACCAATCAAACTGCTGTTGACCAGTCCCATCGACAATAGTGTCTTCAATCGCCAAATGACGCATTGCTTCATTACTGTAACCCATTTCAACAAATCAAGTTTATAAATACATTAGAAGCATAACAAAAGAAACTTACACTTCGGTCTTCAAAAAATTTCTTGAAATCTCATTCATCTCGAGTGTTTGGCTTGCCTCAAGACAACCGATTGCGTCAGCTGAATCTCAGTCCACCTGCTCCAACTGATTGCACACCTCCGTCTCTTCCAGATTTCGCACGACCGAAACCCTACACACGAACTCCTCGCGTGTCCAAGTAGTCGTCTGCCTCTAACTGTACTCTCCAATGCTCCTGCGGATATGAAACTCCAAGCACCTGCCAGTCAAATAACAAAAAATGATTAGCGCCATAATAATTAATAATTAATAAAATAATTATCAATAAAAAATAATAAGTTGCAATGGAGAGAAAATAAAATTACTGGAACTGAAAAGAAGCTGCCAACCAAAAAGAATTAAGCTACACTAAATTACTCTACTAAAACAGAAAAAGAATAGATTACTGTAGCAAAACACGAGTTTCAAGCTTGTGAGCAACTGGAAATTAAAGTCTAGTGTTAAGTTAGCAAACAACTGTAGACTAAAAGACCTACAGGCTACAGTCCAACCTACCCAAAATAATTTATTAGGATATTTTCTAAGGGAAGCATTAAGCCCTATAACCAAACCCTTGGCATCCTAGTTTATAGTACTAGATTGTAAGACCCACTATTTGGTCACTTTTAAGTGAAGTAATATGTCTCACACTTTAGAGAATCTATAAATAAAATGCAATATCCCTAAAATTTCAACCAAATCAAAGCTACCGGACATCCTAATCTATAGGGTTAGGTGGTAAGCCCGATATGTTAAGGAATGAAATGTATCCTCCCTACAACCCAAATAAATAATTACATAATTTCTAAGGAAGTCATAAGAATTATCTAAAATTAAAAATGTCGGACAGCCTAGCTGTAGAGCTAGGTTATAAGATCCATCTTTGAGCAACTCATAAGTAGAGCTGTAAGTCTCACTCTAAATTAAACCTACAGGAAACTTATAAGGGAGTCGTAAGACCTGTCAACTAAATTCAAAATAATTGGCAGTTTAGCATTTAAGATTAAATTGTAAGACCCATCATTGGGTTACTTCTCTAAGGAAGCAGTAAGGCCCGTTCTACCCAAATAATTAGGCAACTTCTAATATGAGTCGTGAGATCTATTATTTTGGAAAATTTCTAAATGAAATATCAAACCCTCGAACAAAAATTAATGTGGATCTTAATTTAAAGTATTAGACTATAAGACCCACTTTTAGACAACTTTCAAAGAGAAGCTGTACGACACACCCAAATAATTAAACCCTCAGGCAGCCTTGTTGTAGAACTAGGTTATAAGTTCTACTAACAAGCAACTCCTAAATAGAGCCGTAAGACCTACTCCAAATTAAACTTACATGCAACTTCTAATGAGTCGTAAGACTTGTCAACCAGAACAATTGGCAGCTTAGCTTATAGGGCTAGATTGTAAGATTCGCTAATGGGCAACTTCTAAGTGAAGTTGTAAAATCCACACGTTAGGAAAATTGCTAAATAAATTGCAAGACCCTAAAACCCAAACAAACAAAATTAATGGACAACCTTGTTGTAGAGCTTGGTTATAAGACTCACCAATGGGTTACTTCTAATAGGAGCTATTAGTCCCTCCTTACGGGTTACTTTCAATGAAAGCTATAAGTCCCGACCCAAATTCAAACACCCGGGCTACTTCCAATAGAAGTCGTAAGGGTTTCTTCAATTCAAACTTTTGGATAACTTTTAAATGAAGTCATAAATCTAAACCAAACCAACTATTGGGTATTCTAATAGATGTAAATCCCAAAACCCAATGAAAACTAAAACTCAATTGTAACCACCTCAGTCTACTCGGGTCTTTGAGAGGAGCCAACCCATGGCTGCTAGTTAGATTCCCTGGACACTATGGTCAATGATTGTTAGTGTTGGTGGATTGTAACCTACAGTATACCCGGGATGACGGAACCATGGGATCTTGATCGGGTTTATGTCCATTTTTCCTCACACTTGAGACTAAAACATCTAAAATTTATTTATCATTAATTGAGAATTCTCTCTTACGTGTTAAGAGGAGTAATTAACTATGAGTGCTTGCGCTCATGGGAAGTAAGGACACATATTATTAAACCCTGACATTATTCTTAGGAAAAATATGATTAACTACAATATGATTAACTACAATCTGACTTAAAGAAGATGAAATCCTATGTCTGTAAAGCGAGATTCGTGCCGACATGCTGTTTTTCTTGAGCCAACATTTATACATTTTATTTTAGTTCTGTTGACAATGAAGGATCGATCGAATCAGAACGGGCTGATTGGAGAAGGCGATGTTTGTAGGTGGTCGGGCTCAAGTGGATGAGGGATCGAAAGATAAGCTGGGGTTCGGGTCTTCTGTATGTGCCAGAGAGACGAGCAATTCGGAGTCGAGGGAGCAGATGCGAGTCAGGCTCGGGACCAAAAGCTAGCACAGGGCCTGGTCGTGGGAGGAAGTAGCAGAAGTGAAAGTCGAGCAGGAGAGTAGGTCGGCTTCGGCTCAGCGTCTGACTTAGGGAGACAAGAGGGAGATCGTGGCGCTCCTGCGTGCAATTGAACAGAGAGAGCAGCGAGTGCTTGAATGTCGAATGGCTTTGCGACGGCTCCTGCGTGTTGTATATAGGAAACGAGAGGAAGTTTCGTTCGGTTGGGTCGTGTGTCATCACGTCGTTTGGTTGAACGTGCTTGAGGTGGGGTCAGGTTGTCAACTCCTGACAGGGATTAATATTAGATCCCTTCTGCTTTTTATTAAAATTTTTTGTTGTAATTTAAGGCCAAAATTTTAGTCTTGCATATAAATTTGGAACATTTAATAATCACATTTTTTGCAATTTGCTTGACATCTTGAATAAATTGTTAGTTGCATTTGCAGCAACAGATTCGTAACTTTCAAGCTATCATTTAACATTTATTGTGGCTCTTGCGGTGCTTAGCGGGGAGTTTGAAAATTTACCTGGAATTGTTGAAACAATTGAGCAAAGAGTATAAGAAAAAAAAAAAAGAATTGTTTTAAGCCGAATCTTAGTTTTAAAATTGTATTGTGGAAATTTGATGAATTGACACTTCAAGTACAAACCCGTAGGTTAGAATCTTGAGTGGATTGGCGTAGTGAGACAAAAATGTAGATGACCCTATTATTCATTATTGTCTTTGTGGACAACCGTAGAATTACTGACATGATCTTAGGATAGGATGTGGTGATCATCACATGCACTTACAACAGGATTGAAATCTTACCGATCATAAGGAATGCTGCCCACAGTGATGGAAGTGAGGCGACTAAGAAAATCAAGATTGCTAAGGTAAAACTAGTGAAGTTTTCTAAAACATTTTTGCAGGGATTTCTTTATGAATATCTATAATAATTAAAACAAAGGAAGACACAGACAGTCGTTCAGGGGTATTTACCTTCATATCGTAATAAGAAATTTTAAGAAGTACAAATATTGTTTATTTTAGATTTAAGTCATGATAGTTGATGTTATATTGTGAATTGTCAATTCTATTTTAGCCTGATCCACCATATTTAGGAAGTTTACTTAGATGAATTGCTTTGATTCTTAATGCTAGTGATTATCTTTTCTATTTTCCCTTTCGTTGGTTTTGATTATCAATGCTCGTTACCAGGCTTCATTCATTAATAGGCTTGTTCAAGGCTCTAATACGAAATAGCCAACGGTGCCAATACAAAAAGTTGCTTCGGAGACATTGCCTGAATCCGGCTATTAATAAGAACAAAGCAATTTGTGATGGATCCGAATTGGAGGTTTGAGTTCTTAGATATGTTTTTTCAAGCATGTATGTACTCAGTTCCTACTTAGCAGAATTACTTATTGTGAGTGATATTTATCCAGTTTTTGTAAATGAAATAAGGATCAGCTTTCCATCAATCTAAAATTAGTTTTCATCATTCTAAGATTAGTCTCTTCCTACTAAAGTTACCGTTTTTATCATTTCCGATATGCTCATTACTACCTTGTACTGATCTTTTAATACTGTTATCCCCTCATAAATTTTGAAACTCAATGTTTTTGGTTCCTTGAGTTGCTATTTACTTTGGAAATATGTGATATCAATAATTGCTTAATATTGTTGACCCTTTCCCGTAGCCAGCAAAACAGAATAATAATAAAAAAAAAAGAGAGAAATCAAAATCAAATCCTTACCTGCTCACTGCCATCCCACGTCGTATGTCGCGGACATGTTTGCGACACTCCTTGCACATCGCTCGCACGACCTCGCGACGTTTCATCGCACGACGGTCTCGCGTCGTTAAATGGCCAGAGGAATGAGGCCTTCGGCCTCTTTCTTCTGCTCTTGCTCCGATGACCACTTGCCATCGACCTGGTGCAAACTTAAAAGGGTTTAGGTCACCGGCATTTACCCCTTCATCAAGCCCGCCAAAGCTAGAAGCAAAGGGCAGAAGGCATACAAATCTTCTGACAAGTCAGTAAAGACAAATCTGATAACCCTTCACCAATATCTGCAGCACAAAGCACATGGCAGAAGGAATCAAACTCTCAGGGCTCTAGCCAAAGTTGTAGAATGAGCACCCTGGATGATATCTACTAATGTCCCTAAAGACTGGGGACATTTTAAATATTTATTTGAGTCTACATCGCACTGCATGTCGAGATCCCCAAATAAATATTTAAAATTTCATCAAGATACCACTATAAACTAAAGTGAGCTTGGTGACTAAAGAGAACGAATGGTGGCGATGCTATCAACTAGCGTCAATCTACAAAGACAGGATATCAACCATCTATGAATACATTCAAAGATCTATGGAGAAAGAAAATTAGTGTGATATCCAAACAAGTTTTGGAGATCCACTAAATGAAAACCCTAATGTGACATCTAGAACAAATATCTAGAGATCCACAGGGTCAATCAGCATGCAACAAATGTGGCTTGCTCCGGCCGCGTACCACATTTGTTGGGGGGCATTTGTTGACCCTTTCCCGTAGCCAGCAAAACCGAACAAAGAAAAAAGAGAGAAAAATCAAAATCAAATCCTTACCTGCTCACTACCATCCCACGTCGCACGTCGCTGACATGTTTGCGACACTCGCACGTCGCTCGCATGACCTCGCGTCGTTTCATCGCATGACGGCCTCGCATCGTTAAATGGCCAGAGGAATGAGGCCTTCGGCCTCTTTCTTCTGCTCCCGCTCCGCTCTTTCCCCTCCGAGCTCGCTCCCTCTCTCTCGCGCTCTCGCCTCCTCCTTCGTAGCTCACGACTTCGCTCCTCTGTCAACTTTCCCTTCAAGTAGGATTGGAAATTACGACATTTTGATCGAAGTCGAGAGCAGGAGCTTGCCGACCGTGAAAGTTGACTTCCTCCCATTTGCACGCCTCTCCGACCCCATCATTGCCGTTCGACTTCGTTCTCCTTTAAGATCGAAAGTTACACCATTTTGATCGGAGAAAGGAACGGGAGCTCGATAGCTGTGAAGGTAACTTTGTCCCTCTCACGCGCATCTTCGGCCAAATTTATTATTTTTAATTAATCAAATTTATAAATTAATTGTTATTAATTATTGTTAATTAATTACATCTTATTAAAATTAATTAATATTAAGTTATAATTAATTTTAAATTAATTATAACTTATTATCTTAATTAATTTTAATAAATTATTTTAATTAATTATAATTAATAAAAATGAATAATTAAGAATAATTGTTTAATTAATTAAAATTAATTGATTTTAATTATAACTAATGAAATGTGCCTCCCTCTCCTTGCCTCGGTCTTCGTGCCCTCCACCGCCGGTCCACTAGCCTGCCGGTCTCCAAGGTATAAATCTCTAAACTCAGATTTTTGTCCTCGACGTTTGCGGCGAGCTGGCAAACCCCCTACATGCTCACGTAGCGTTGTGGGGAGAGAAGCTAGTCCGACGCCTACGACGAGGCAGATAATCGCCTAAAGTCCTTCCTCGATGCTTGCGACGAGCTGGCAAAACCCCCACGTACTCACGTAGTGTTGTAGGGAGAGAAACCGGCGCGACGCTCGCAATGACCCAAAATCCTTCTTCAATGCTTGCAACGGGTCGGCAAACCCCCTACGCGCTCACGTAGCGTTGTAGGGAGGGAAATTGATGCGGTGCTTGCGGCGAGATGGTTAATCCCCGGAGTGCTCACGTAGCGCGAGGGGGATAAAATAATAAACAACAAAACAAAAATACTCTTAAAAGCTCACGTAGCGGGCGGGGATAAAAAAAATATGCGACCGCGGTGGCATTTTTTACACCTACCTGAAGCGCTCACGTAGCATCGAGGGGAAGGTTGCCTCTTGTTTTTCCCCTAAACGGGGGAGACGCCAGAAGGCTGCCAAAATTCAGATTGGAGATACCGTGGACTTAGCAGCATTTGGGCCTACATGTGAACAAATTTTGGACAGACAAGGACTTGCTTTGGACTTAAATAAACTTGAACTCAAATAAATTTGAAATCATAATACTTGAATTGATTGAACTCATGCGAACTACAAAAGACTTGAGACAAAACACAAGGGACCTGAACAAGATTTGAAGAACTGGAATTTGGATCACTTGGACTCACATTCAAGCAAATGCAATCAAACCTAACAACGACAATCAACAAGCATGAAGAAATGAATGAAAGCAACGGAGTTACCATACACTTAGCGCCGATATACAAACAACCATGAGCTCTTGTAGGGAGGATATCACAACATTCTTGTAACCAAAATCGAGATACAAGCAAGTACGTTACAAGACCTCAATGCATGCAAATAAAGAATGTATTAGACTTCTACAACAGTCCCTACAATGCCTGTTGATTGAAGAAGGCGACGTTGGAAATCAAAAGTGGAGGATTCGACCTTACAAATAAATGCGATCAACAAACCACCTGAGATTGGTGAAAGGTGGATGTGATGCAAGAACAATGGATCTTCTACAAACATTTTCAGGAGGTCGTAGTGGATACAACGGTCCCCTGCAAATGAATACTTGTGGATAACAACAGTGGGTATATCGTAAGCACAACGAACCACTGTGGACACAAGTATAGATATCACCTACGACAACGGTGACCAAGATCTACGAGTATGTCGGGTAAGAAGTACAAAGAGGGATCACCCCCTGGCAGAATGGGAGAGATGTTTGAACAAATTAGAATTAAACTTCCTGGTGTTCCAAAGTCTCTTCTTAGTTCTAGACTTAAAAAAAATGATTCTGGTGTCCACAAGCACCGAAAATAACAAGCATACTACACTAAAGACCCTGGAGGGAATTCTTTCCAAAGCAGTAGTCACGAACTTCAATGAAGTTCTTCTCGGTGAATGAGAAAAGGGGAGTTAACATCAAGATGAGGAGATGCCTCATAACATCAAGACCATAATGCCACCGGATCTGCAACACTTATACAAGCAGACAGAAGGCGTCTACAATCTACAACACATCGCCACCGGATCCGCAATGCTCGTACTAGTGGACAGAAGGCGTGTATAAGCTCTCAAATGAAATGTTGTATACTTAAATGACAGTTGCATGTACAACTACAACTATTTCAAAGAACCTCTGCATGTGCACCATAATTTGTATACACATAGGTACACTAAAAGGGAAAATGCAATCCTGACCTGCATGGGCCCCAACGAGCGTGTTATTGGTACACACGTGACGCATAGGGATGCTGCATGGGTCGATAAGTGAATTTAAGTTCGAACCCGATCCTTCTATACGGATCAATAGAAGTCGACATGGTTCGAACAATCAAATAAGTATACGGTGATGGCGACCGGTATATTTGTTTTATTGCATTCATATTAGACCTTCAAGGCCTTTAACAAAAGAAATTCACAAACAAAGGCACAAGGCCTACGAGAAACCGGATCCCCTATCGGAAAATTGATTTGGTCGACAAGGTTTAGTTAGTGAATGACCCCACACCCTAATGATGGCTGCGTTGATTGAAGATCTCAACCAGAGGGGTTAATTTCGGGCATTTTTCAAGTGTCTACCAAAAGTCCACTCAAAATCCAAACTCAAAAAATCCCAAATTCCAAGATATTTAAATTCGAAACCATCCATCAATCACTCAAAGCAAAATCCATCCACCATTTGCAACAGTTTGTCGAGGTGGACAAATTCAAATATAACTTCAGCTCACATAGAGCTAATGCCTAGTCGAAAATATTACTAGGATCCATTCTCAAACAATCTCCTGCCAGTAAGGACGTGATACGTGTCCTCTAATCGGCGGTTTTGCCGCCAAATGGTAACGCAGGATAAACAGTTATGACCTGGGGCTCTCTGAACCGAGTGGTTTTGCCGTCAAATGGCACCACACACCGGTTATGGCCAGAGCCAATACGCTCCTTATTGACATCAAATCCTTGAGATATGAATCAATAGGATATGATCGATAGGGCACAAAGCCCTCTTTTAGCTAAGGTGGATTCAAATTTGTCCCCTTAGACAAAAATTCAACTTAGGTCTACAAGGTACCCTTGGATGAAGCAACCCATGGCTGCCGACAAGGATCCTTTTATCAGGTTGGGTAGACTACCTCCTATGACTAAGTAGACAAGGGATCGCGATGACCCGGGACGACGGAACCATGAGATCTTGATCAGGTCCATCATCCATTCCCCCACCATCCTCTTTAAGTACAAGATGGTGAAATTTCTATTTTAAATATCAAATCTTCAAACTTCCAATCTTCAATACCCAAACCCGTGCTACTACTATATGCCAGATGTGTATTCTCTACGTATCTGATTGACGACTAGCCTTAATCGAAAGTCCTCTTGACAAAATTTACCCCGGAACTTAGCTCGTTAAAACTCCATCGCCAAAGAAAAACCACCATGCGCGGCGGGGAGGCCGGGGCCGAATTTTTGGAGCCCACAAATATTGATAATACTAAAGTGCTTTGCAATTTGAAATAACTTTGACGTATTAAGTGTGAACCTTAATATTGCCAAAGATTAGAACTCTTGCAGGAAAAAAGGTATGCACAAACTGTGATAATGATTCAATCATTTTTTTTTAGTTTCTTGATTGATTTTTCTTTTGATAACTATGATCAATATTCATGATGAGACGTTATGTATAGGCTGATGCATACCTTTAGATTCAACATCCATTGAGCTGAATTAATTATTGACATCACATTCTTTCAAATGTAACTTCTGTTTAAAAAAATTCTTTAGATGGTAAAAAGCTTAATTAAATGTGCTTTTGCAGCATGATTTAATTGATTCTTATTCTTCGCACAAACAAGTGGTCTCATTTGTTTGGGCTATAACCAGAAGCCTAGTCCCCAATGATTTACTTGGCGATTATATCACATGGAGAGCCTTAAGAAAAAATATTTCAAAATTTGTGAAGCTGCGTAGATTTGAAAGGTTTTCGTTGAAGCAATGCATGCACAAGCTAAAATCTTCCCACTACCCATTTCTATCAAAAATTGCCTTCTCTAATTGCTCTTGTGGTGGATTATGGAAAAATTATAAAAATTATCGGAAAAGGAAGAAGGATCTTAGAGCGTTGAGTGTTGGAAATCGGTCCCTGCAAAACAAACTATTCAGGTGCTGGTTATATTGGTATTTTTCACATGTGGTTGTACCCTTGCTAGGAAACAACTTTTATGTTACAGAAAGAGAGACCCGAAAGCTGGATGTCTTTTATTATCCAAGGCCCACTTGGAACAAATTGTTTAAAAGCACAGTTGCTCAGTTAAAAGGTACAACTTATGGTGTTTTGGATCATGCATCTTTGCATAAAATATTAAGTGAAAGGAGAATTACCTTAGGGGGAAGCGCATTTGGATTTTCAAGGGTTAGGTTTCTCCCAAAAGAGAAGAATGTAAGGCCCTTAGCAAATCTCAGAGCACCTTCGAAGTTCCAATTCACAGACAAGAAAAATGCTAGAATTCATGTCAAGGCAGTGAAAGAGCAAAGCAGGTTTGTTTGGTACAAGTCAGTTAATTCTTCTCTGCGAGAGCTTTATGTTGCTCTCCGATCTATAAAGGCTGACGATCCAAACAAATTAGGAGCTTCTGTGTTTGATTATAATGAAATCTACCGAAGACTATATCATTTTGTTGTTAAAGTCAGAAAGAGATCAGCATTTTTTCCTAAGCTGTACATTGTTGTTGCAGATGTAGCAAAAGCATATGATTCTATTGATCAGGATGTTTTAATTGATATAATGAATGATGTCATCCCATGTGATACCTATTTCTTCAAAAACTATTCCAAACTTGTTTGCGACAAGAAGTCCATAAAGGCCATGCCATATCGATTATGTTCTTATCATTGTAACAAGAAGCAGGACATCATGAAAATTGAAGCTTCAATCCAGCTAAATTCATCCTGTTGTGTCTTCATTGATAAGGTAATATTTTTCTCATCTTTAGTTCTTTATTTTGTATTTTGGGATTTACATTTGTATATTTTTATGTTAGAACAAGCTCTCATGTTCTGCAATCATTATGTGCACATAGAGATGATCCCAATCTTTCTAGATAGTAATGATTTAGTGCTTATTGACAATGTAAACTGAAAATATTCTGATCTGTAAAACAATTATTTTCAACTTAATGAGAATTCCATTTCAAACTTCTCGTTCCTTCTGGTGCTATTTCTCCATGTTGTTCTTCTCTTCTGAATAGTTTCCATCACTCGATCAAATTTCCTGTAGGAAAAGAGGTCATTTGTCTGTGAAGAGAAGATTATACAAAGGGAAAGAATAGAGTAATTATTCATTACTTGATGATCAAGAGAATGATATACAATATTGTTAAAGCGCACTTTAGGAGTAAAGCACTTGTTGCACCACTTTGCTGTGACGTATTGTAGCCTTGTGTACTAAGCTCTTGCTTAGAGCGAAATCCTAGTTTAGATTTCATAGTCGGTTTGACTTGTGCCGTAATAACAAGGCACTATCATTTTCTTTTTCTTTCTATTTCTCATAGTCATTGAGTCATTGATTAATGGATCTCCATTATCTTCCATTTGAGTTAGTTACTTTTTGGTGGTTCTTTTGCCTACGCTCATTCTATCACACTCAATTTTGACCCATTTCAATCAACCTGAGGTGTAGCAAGAAAGAAAAATACATACAAACACATTTCTCTCAAGACCCATCCTGAACTACATTCATCCGGATCGAGTGGGTAGAAAATTAATCTATTCGGACTATCCCAACACAAATATAGTATAACCATAGAATTATACCTCATAATTTCATGTTTGGAAGCAAGCACAATATATATCAAAATAAAGTACAGAGCTTTACTAAAAATTTCAAATAAAATTTTACATATCTAAAAGCTTTAATGTACATCTTATTAATCCGTCTTCTATTTACACCCCCAAAACTAAATACCCAAAACGATTATGCATACAGGGCATTCAAACTCCTACCTAAAGTCCCACTAGCTCCTTTCTCTTTCCTGCAATACATCAACCACTGAGCTAAAGGTTCAATGAAATACATAATCTTAATACAAAAATAAGAAGTAATTAACATGTTGGTGATAATTCAAACTAATATAAGAGTCATAAGCGATATAGATGTAATATTCAAGAAATTAAATAAATTGTGATAATCAATGCATAAAACTGTGTTATTTACTATATGAAATATTTCGGTTTTCTCCCATGTTTCTTATTTTATTCATGTACACTATTTTAGATAAGTCATATGATGTTTATAGGCTTTAGCATGTTCATGACCTCCCCTTCAAGGTTGGATTTACAAATTCAAATTTTTTAGAAGAGAGAGTCAGGTACCTCTCATACGGTCTCTGCCAAGGCTTATCTCATTAGGTCTTTTTGCCTTTTCTTGCGCAAGTCATCACTTGTTGGCCTATCCTCCATAATATGACTTTTCTCAATAACAATCAAACTAATATAGCAGACGCTAAGGATATCATGTAACAGTACACAATGATTAAGAATTTTGAACATTGTACATATAAAATAAATTCATTATGAACAAGTGATCATAAAATTTAAACTATCTTGTTGCCAGTATTTTCATATTATAATTAATATGAAGAAATATTATAAAAGTTAAATTTTTAAATTTGTTACTTCCTGTACTAAAGATTAGGTATCTTTCCTTTTCCAGGTTAGCATAATGAATTTGATCCCTTAGAGTACCTCGATCTCTCTTCCTTTTATAGATAGCCTAAATAATAATGATTTTAAAACTTATAAATAATTCCCAACTTAGAAATCAGTTTTTGATAAACCTAAAAAAAAAGAATTTACCTCAATTGCATTTCTTTTCATTCAAATTAGATTCTTTACCTATTCCCTAGCCTCTTTCCTTTTATTCCTTCTTTTTCCTTCCTTTCTTTCTTCTCTTTCTTTACCAATTTCTGAATTCGATTTTCAGCAGCCCCTAGACGCCCTCCAGAAAATAGCTTGCCCTCGACAAGCTACGGTTTCTGATACAGATGTTGGCTACCGGTGGAGGAGAAGAAGTGGGAATGGTTTTAACTTAATTGATATATAATATAACATAACTAATAGTTATATTATAAATTCAGCCCTTTGATCCCAAATCAAGCCGCTGCATGCATCTGAATGTGGAAAAGAAGAAAATCCAGTAACTGTTACAGTAAATTTAATAAATGAATAGTAAAGAAAAACTATAGGAAAAAAATGCAAATCGAAATTAATTCAATAATTTTCATGTCATTGCAAATTAATATATACTTCTATATATCAATTTGCTCAGTTTGACGAGAAGAACATAATGGAATAAAAATTTAATTTTTTTTAATAAAGTTGATATCTTGGGGTTTAATTTATGTGAAAAAATTAAGCTTATCGTTTGAAAATTTTAGGGTATGATTCGCTTCCCTTTTAGTTCTTAGCGCTCAGCCCCTGTGCACTAGTTCTTTACATCTTGTTGTAGGTATAACCGTATAAGTAGTTTCTCACTCGTAAGATTCTTCTCAAGAATGATTTTCAATGTCACATTCTCACATTATCGCTTGCTTAACATTGCAGTATCTCTTGTTCTTTAACTAGTTACTCAATCTTGTGCGTATATTCTTAATATTCAAGTGTTCGTACATCAGTGTTCGTACATCACTTTATTACGTTGCCAAATTATTATTCCTTGATATGCTTTATGTTTGATTAATTAAATAACAATTGTATGAACATAATATATGTGTATATGATATACAATCATAAATTTGATATCTAAATCTACAGTTAGAAGTGCATTTTCATGCAATAATAATCATTAGACTTAATAACTTATTTGGGTCAAATCACAATGCCGATAATTAACTATGGTGATACAAGAAGAGAAGAAAAGAGGATATGAGGATAGAACTAAAGGATAATCCATAATTTTATTTCTGCTTTGCATTGATATCCAAGAATGTTCTAAGATAAATTTATAAAATCTTAATCTCAACTCAACATTCGAAGGAACCCTTGGAGATTTGTAGGATCGACTAGCAATAAACATAGTTCGTCTCAAGAGCATCATATTTGTCGAAGGGCATCTGCTAGCTTATTTTATCAATAAAGATGAAAATCCCTTACCTAGCATATGTCGTCTCCCACGCAGACCCCTTCCCATGCATAATCTCTATCCTCGTTGAGCCCATCTTATGCGCATACATGATGTCGCTCTCCCACTTTGCATCGATAATCTTGCTCTGCCCCCCTCTTTGCTCTCTTCCTCTTTGACTAAGTCCCCTTTATGCCCCTCTCTTCCTACTATCTCCTTAGCAACCCCTTGCCACCAAACTGCTGTTTCCTACATTGAGCTTGCCACCCTAGCTGCCAATGGCCAACCACCCATCACCAGCATTGTCGTTGTTCTTTTTTCCCCTTATCCTCACTCTCTCTCCCCCTCTTTCCATTTCTCTCTATCTTACTCACTTTGTAACTCTTCTCTACCTCTTCCCCCCATTTGTCTTTCTCTCTCTACAATTATGGTCAAGAGAAGATTTTGGAATTGGATTTTTGAGAATGTGAATTTTTCTTTGAAAATGATTGATTTGGAAAATCAAAGTTCATCTTTCTCACTTTTGAAAGTGATTTGAAAAGTTCATCTTGAAAAGCATTTGCTTGTATTGGAACCATTCAACCCAACATTTGAAAATGGGGGAGGTATGCAATACAAAATTGATTTTGCAAATGCCATTTAGACAACATTTAAAATGACTAAATGAAAACTACTAGTTTAGATGTAAAGAGACATCCTCTCCAGTGGAGTCGTTAGAAAATTTGTTGGAGAATTTTTGTATTTTCAAATGGATTGAATATTTTATAATTGAGTACGACATAAGAATGATGATATATTATCCCGAAGGGTAAAAATACTATTTCCTTACGGACTCAATGATAAAATTTACAAATTGAAACAGAGATTTTCCCACTTAATGTTTGTCGGGTGGGGTTTATTTATTTCTGGGGTACAGACGTCCCATAGGGGCCCCTATGGTTAATTACATCTCAAGCTTTGGCTTGAGAAAACTTTTGATTAAACTAGTGGTTTTCTTCATTTTGAGGGTCATTCAAATATTTGTTAAAGTTTGATTTTGAAATCCAAGAAAGTCTTGCTTAAAAGTTTTGGCCCTTTAGGAATTTCAAGGAATGAAAAGATCATCTTAGAATCAGATTTTGAAATGAGAGCCAAGGGAGGTGAAGTAGGAGCACTTGATTCTGAGGGAAACTCAGAGATGCTCAAACTATCTTATGTTGGGCTTTACATTTTAGAAATGTAATTTTGATTTAAGTTGATATTTTTTTATTAGAAAGTTGGGGCTTACATTCCAACAACACTTATTGAAGGAATTGCCCGAAAGGTGAGGGCTCACATAGTGATTTGAAATCAACTATTGCCTCAAACCCTAAAACTAAGGTGAGGACTACTGATAGGTAGTGCATCGAACCTAAGTCTAACGAGTACAAAGGGGCTTACAAACTACACCTCACAAGAGGCATAGTCTGCCCGACCTCTGGATTTACTGTCCCGTCTGGAAGGAACTACCAGCTAAACCCTCCTAATCGCTTTTAAAACCATGTATTTTGGTCTCAATGCAAATTTAGAATAAAAAACTATTTTATTTAGGAATATAGGGCTTATAGCTTGGTTTTGAGGCCAAGATACCTAATTATGATGGGTATGCATAATGCTGACTCACAAAAGAAAGATTTTTTTTGTTATCTAGCCCTTAAGTGAAGACTTTCTATATGCGACACACTTTGGCTATGCATGATTGTTTTAAGTTTTGAAAAACTTGGCTCTTTGAAAGAGAGTCATGCAAATTTTCTTTTATTAGGAAATAATGAGCCTAAATCAATTTTTAGATTGATTATATTTTAATGGCTAGAAAACTTACTTTTGTCCTAAGA